TCATTTATTTGATTATCTGAAAATTAATGAAGGCAAAAAAAGCAAGCATTTATCCTGCCTTTCCTTTTTTTTTTTTTTTTTAAAGATGACCGGTAAGGGGATCTTAACCCTTGACTTGGTGTTGTCAGCACCACGCTCAGCCAGTGAACTAACCGGCCATCCTTATATGGGATCCGAACCTGTGGCCTTGGTGTTATCAGCACCACAGTCTCCCGAGTGAGCCACGGGCCAGCCCTATCCTGCCTTTCCTTTACAAACTGTATCTCTGGGAAACAAAAAGGTTAGTGAGAGAGAAGGCTTCTTTTTTGTGTGTGTGTGGCTGGCCAGTTCGGGCATCTGAACCCCTGACCTTGGTGTTATAACACCACACTGTAACCAACTGAGCTAGCTGGCCAGCCTGGAAGGTTTCTTTATAGAAGAATTTCAGTTAATAAATGCAGAAGGAACACTAGAATTAGAAAATTGCTGTTTCGCCAGCCCTAATGAGGATGTGGATCTAGGTAGCAATCACGAGGTGAAAGGATGATGGGGTATATAATGGAGGGATCAGTCTAAATGCCATCTGAAGCCACCAAACAACCTTGGCATTGCTGCAATTACGGTAGCCAGACATGATGTATCTCATGATACAATGTAATAGGAAGTGCCCAGCCACGCTCATGAAGTGTTCTTCCCTAAAAAATTGAACATGACTCCAAGTAAGCCTAACACGAGTCTATCAGTTTGTGGGAAATACAGGGGTCAGAGTAATGAGACATCTGAGAAGACAATCAGCCAAATCCAAAGTGTGAGACATTATGCGGGATAAATGACGCGGTTTCTGAAATAGATTGCCGACGTGAAAGAGAAAAAAAGTCAGGGTGAAATGGTCATATAAAAAAGAGAGCTTTAAGTACATGATAACTAAAGCAAACCAAAAAGGACCACTCTGGCTGTTGTGTTAAGAATAGAGCAGAGAACAGCCATTATGGAAAACAGTATGGAAGTTCCTCAAAAAACTGAAAATAGGGCCAGCCCGGTGGCGCACTGGATAGTGCACCGCTTGGGAAGCGCGGCGGCGCTCCCGTCCGAGGGTTCGGATCCCACATACAGACCGGCTCCCGCTCACTGGCTGAGCGAGGCGCGGGAGCAACACCGAGGGTTGCGATCCCGTTGCCGGTCCCCGGTCCGGTACGGGGGCAACACTGAGGGTTGCGATCCGTTGCCGGACACGGGAAAAAGACAAAAAAAAAATAAAATAAAATAAAATAAAATAACTATGGGCCGGCCCAGTGGCGCACTGGATAGTGCGCCGCTTGGGAAGCGCGGTGGCGCTCCCGTCCGAGGGTTCGGATCCCATATGCAGACCGGTTCCCGCTCACTGGCTGAGCGAGGCGTGGGAGCAACGCCGAGGCTTGCGATCCCGTTGCCGGTCCCCGGTCCGGTACGGGGGCAACACTGAGGGTTGCGATCCGTTGCCGGACACGGAAAAAAAGACAAAAGACAAAAAAAAAAAAAAAAAGAAAGAAAATAAATAAATAAAAACAAAAAAACTGAAAATAGAACTACCATGTGATCCAGCAATCCCACTACTGGGTATATATTCAAAGGAAGGGAAATTAGCATACTGAAGATATATCTGCACCCCCATGTTTATTGCAGCACTATTTATAATAGCCAAGATATAGAATCAACCTAGGTGGTAAAGAAAATGAGCTATAAATACACAACAGGATGCTACTCAGCCATGAAAAAGAAGGAAATCTTGTCATTTGTGGCAATGTGGATGAGCCTGGAAGACATTATGTTAAGTGAAATAAGTTAGGCACAGAAAGATAAATACTGCGTGTTCTCACTCATCTGTGGAAGCTAAAAAAAAAAGTTGAACTTTTAGATGTAGAGAATAGAATTGTGGTTACTAGAACTGGGAAGGGAAGAGGGTAGGGAGATAGGGACAGGTTGGTTAATGGACACAAAATTACAGCTACATAAGAAAAATATATTCTAATGGTGTACAGTAGTACTAGGCATCTGTAATTAACAACAATTTATTGTATATTCTCAAATGGCTAAAAGAGAGATCAAATATTCTCTTCACAAAGAAATGATAAAGTTTTACAATAATGAATGTGCTAATTACCCTAATTTGATCATCACACATTATATACTAGTATTGAAATATAACTGTGTATGCCATAAATATGTTTCAATTAAAAACTACATTCCTAGGGCCATCCCGTGGCTCACTTGGGAGAATGTGGTGCTGACAACACCAAGTCAAGGGTTAAGATCCCCTTACCGGTCATCTTTTAAAATAAATAAATAAATTCCTTAAAAAAAAAATAAAAATAAATAGACCAGAGAAGATTAAGGATGAAAGCAAAGAGAATAGTTAAGAAGCTATTACAAAATTCTAGGTGAGATTTTGGACACGGATGATAGCAAGATGGCACTTGAATTCTGGATATATTTTGAAGGTATAAGTGACAGGACTTGCTAATGGATAGAAAAGATGTGAAGTTTCAGAGAAAGAGTCCAAGATGACTCCCAGGATTTGGTCTAAGCAACTGAAACAATGGGGTTGCTATTTGCTGAAATGGGGAAGACTGAGGGAGAAGCAGGTTTGTGAGGAAAGATTGGGAAAAGCTCTATTATGAACTCCATCTCTTCAGTCTGATAGGCCTTTTGAATATCTACAAGCAGAAGTCAGGGAGACAGTGGGGTATATGAGTGAAGTATTGAGGACGGATCCACACAGGAGATGTAAATGTGGGGGTCCTCAGCAGGCAAGTGGTAGTTAAAGCCACGAGACTAGGTGAAAGAATCAATGGAGTGAGTGTAGCTGGAGGAGAGGTTCCAGGACAGAGCCTGTGAGGTGAATAGGTGGGAGCCAGCAACAAGAATAGGGCTGGCCCGGTGGCGCACTGCTACAGTGCGCCGCTTGGGAGCGCAGCGGTGCTCCCACCAAGGGTTCGGATCCCACATACAGACCGGTTCCCGCTCACTGGCTGAGCGAGGGGCCGGCGCAGCACCGAGGGTTGCGATCCCGTTGCCGGTCCCGGTCCGGTACGGGCGCGACACTGAGGGTTGCGGTCCGTTGCCGGACACGAAAAAAGACAAAAAGGAAAAAAAAAAAAAAGAATAAAGGCATCCTGGAAATCACGTGAGAGCAGAGTGATCGGCTGTGTCACGCTTCTGGCAGGTCGAGGAAGGTGAGGACTGAGCAATGTGGATTAAGCAATATACAGATCGATGTACTTGATAAAGAGTAGTTTCAGTAAGCAGATGGGTGTGATTTCAAGAAAGCCTGCCTGGGAGAGAGAAATCAGAAAATAGCTCTTTTGAGCAGCATGGAAAGGAAAGGAAAGAGCTAGTATTAGCTGGATGGCAAAGGGTGGTCTAGAGAGGGGTGTTTCTTTGGTTGTTTGAGAATAACTGTTTTATTCCTTTCAGGAAATATTTTTGCAACAGTAATCTTTCTCCCCTAACTTCTTATTTTTGACAAATACCAAATCACTGAAACGGTGGATACTGTACATGCTTCACCTAGTTTAATGCATTGTTAACATCTTGCCACATTTGCTTTCTCTCTCTAAGTATGTAAGTATATTATTTTTTTCTGAGCCACTTTAAAATTGTAGATTATCAAGTTTACCCTAAATATTTCAGGATGTAGCTCCTAAAAATAAGGACATTCTCCTACAGAACCATATCATTATTATTATTATTTATTATTTTTTTTTTAATATTACTGGGAAGGGGATCTTAACCCTTGACTTGGTGTTGTCAGCACCACGCTCTCCCAAGTGAGCTAACTGACCATCCCTATGTAGGGATCTGACTCATGGCCTTGGTGTTATCAGCACCACACTCTCCCAAGGCTGGCCCACCGTATCATTATTTTATCCAAGAAATTTAATATAACATACAGTTCATATTAAAACTGTATATTGTCGCTATTTTTGTGTCTGGTCCAGGGTCCAATCAAAGGTCACCCATTGCTTTTGGTTGTCACATCCTGAAGGGATTTTTTTAGGATGGGAGAAATAATAGTACATTTGTATGCTAATTTTAAAAATCTAGTAGAGAATGAAAACTGATGATGCAGAAGATGGGGGATGGGTGGCCGGTTAGCTCAGTTGATTGGAGCACAGTGTTAAAGCACCAAGGTCAAGGATTCAGATCCCTATACTGGCCAGCCGCCAAAAAAAAAAAAAAAATAAGTAAGAGAAGATGGTGGAAATTGCCAGAGTGATAAAATTGAGAAGGTAAGAGAAGATAGGATGTAGTCACTGGGGTGGGGGGGTATGACCTTTGATGGAAACATGGACAGTTTATCCAGAGTAGCAGGAGAAAGAAAAGGCACAGCCTGTGGACAGGTGGGTGGGACCTTAAGGACATTCTCTTTTTATTGCTTTTATTTTCATGGTGAAATAGGAAGAATGGTATTCAACTGAGAGGAGGGAAAGGAGAAGAGATGTAACAGTTTTAAGAAAAGAAGATATGAATTCATTGTCTAAGTCATCTTCAAACTAGGGCACACATTATCTCTGGATATACATGAAGACTTTCCTAGAGTGTGTGTTTATGGATAGTCCTAAGGGAATCCTCTTGTAGACCCTCAATTTCTATAGGTACACTTCTCTGAAATCAATCTCCCTGAGAAAGGGCCTCTTGACAGTAGGCTTCCTTTCACTTTGGAAAAAAAGACAGACTCACCTATCCCAAATCTGAATTAATTATATCATCCCTGCTTCTTGTCTGCTTGTTGATTTTATTATTCCTTTTTTTTTTTTTTAATCCAGAAAAAAAATTCCTTTCTGGAACCAGGATGCTCTTCTTAAAGATCCCTTTACCCCAAATTCCCATAGCTTATCATCCTGCTGGAGTATTGCCCCTATTCTCGTTTCTAATTTTAGCCTTTTTAGTGTGTGTCTCTGATTCTCTTTTCTCTCTTCATCTATGCTTTACCTCTGATTTCCTGCCTCTGCTTTAACTGTTGTTTTTTCTCTGATTTTCAGGCTTGGTCACGGTGGCAGGAACAGCTCCTGCACAGCCAGAGGGAGAGACGGAAGGTGGTCTCTGCAGTGAAACACCATCAGCACTGGCAAAAGCAGAGATCCCTGAAGGCCTGGCTTGAATACCTGCAAGTCCGCAGAGTGAAGAGACAACAGAACGGTGAGTAAGAAGCCCCGGGCTCTCGAGACAGAGGATCTGGTCATAATCTGCTGCCAATGGTACTGTATTAAGAAGAAATATAACCATGTTATGCCACAAATTTTGGTAAAAGGAGATTGAGGAGGAAAATACATCATCCTCGATTCACATAAGTTGTTTCCATCTGACCTTTTCTTTTATGCATGTATTTTATTCAGATAGGATTTTAATTATGCTATAAATATTGTGATTATTATGACTAATATGATGATACCTCCAATTTTGTATCTCACTTTTTTTCATATAGTTGTGTCTTTAAGTAGTCCTCCTAAATGTTATTTTTTAATGATTGGTTGTATTTTACAGGATGGCTTACCTTAATTTACTTAGCTGTTCTCCTACTGCTAGATACCTGGATTGTTTCTATTTGTACCAATTATGCAAATGCATGTGATACATGATGTTGAGTTTTTTAGCTGCTGCGTTTTTTCAGCAGCTAGCTCGTATGGGGATCTGAACCCTTGACCTTGGTGTTATAACACCATGCTCTAGCCAATTGAGCTAATTCACCAGTCCCCTTGATACTGTTTTTATGGTTTAGAATCAGAAGTAATAATACAAAGGAACATGATTGTTGGTACACTCTTTGTACTTAAATTTATTGAACTTATACAGAAGTGAGTGAAGCACTGTGCTACATTCTGGGTTAGGCTCTCTGCCTTTCCCCGCAGCTTCCCTGCAAAAATCTTCTAGGCTACCAGCACTGTCTCTTGGGAGAAGTTGATTGCATCCATTTGAGGATAGTGAGTGGACCAACCTTCTAGTTGCCCACGCCTGGAAGGTGAAGGCATTAAGCTTTTTAACATAATGAGCTATATAGACTGATACTGCCTCCAATTTCAGCATTCAAATTCCAGGACTGTATTAGTCTGTTTTTGTTGCTTATAACACAATACCTGAAACTAAGTAAGTAAAGAAACAATATTTATTGCTTACAGTTTCGGGGACTGGGAAGTCCAAAGTCCAAGGAATACATCTGGTGAGGGCCTTGTTTTTGGTGGAGATGACTCTACAGCAAGGCAGGGTGATCACATAGTGAATATGGCAGGAAAAGAGAGAGACTAACTTCCTCACTGGCTCTCCTTTTAAAGCCATCAGAACCACGCCCATGACCACCACTACACCATTAATGAATTAATCCATTCACTAGGGCATGGTCCTCACAATCTATACATCTCTTTAAAGCCCCCACCTTTCAATTACCATAACAGGATTTCCCACCATCTTAACACAGTCATAGTGGAGATTAGGTTTCTAATATGTGGACTTTGGGGAACACAATTCAATCCATAGCAAGGACTGATTCCCTTCCACTTTCTGGGCTTCAGCTCACCAGGCCATTAGCTGATTAGTGTTAAAAGGAGATGAAGCTGGCAGCCAGGATCAGCCTGGCTGAAAACTCAAAAAAACCTGTGCCAGCATGGCGACAGAGTTATATGTCATTGACACAGTCCCTGAGTCCTATCCAGGAGACATCTTGTGTAGAGGCAAAAGTAAAACAGAATCCTCTTTGAAAGCAATAGTTGCCATTCCTGCTCATCAGTAGCTAACTAGAAGCCTCAGCCCTTTGATGTAATTGATTCTGCAGCATCCTCCTCCCTAAAATTACAGACCTTTTCTCTATCCTTGTAGAGAGGAGATATAGTTCAGGGATTCCTAATGACCTTCCAGTTTTTAAAAAAACAAAACAAAACTGTCTTTAAGGATTCTTTGTGAGAACAGCCTTGAATCCCTGCTGACTTCCAGTAGCAGAGTTCAGCTTGTCTTAAAGATGCTTCCAGTTCATCTCCCAACCTTGGGAGAGCAGCACTTAAGTTATTTCTCTGTTGCAGAGATGGCTGAGCAATTCTACCGTGTCACTGTGCTGCAGATACACTTCTGTGACTGGCAGTGGGCCTGGAAGAGGAGGGAGAGCTTATATGCCCACCACGCCCTGGTGGAGGAGCTGGCCAGGAGAATGGTCCTGCGCAGGGCCTTTACGCACTGGAAACACTGTATCCTTTTCAGCCACCCAGACACGTCCACTGCCTCAGCCAGGACAGCATGAACTCAGCAGCATGTGAAACAAAAGTCATGAGATACAGGGGAAGCAATTACCAAGCAATTGAAGGCAGCCTTATCTCTGTTGACTTCTTTTTAAAAATTTTTGTTTAGTTGTGATTATATATATAAGACTACTTTTAACATATATTTGTAGTTTAAAGAATAATAATAAAATGAACATCTATGTACTCACCACCCAACTTAAAAAATAGAATGCTGCTGGTATCCCTGTCTGCTCTTCACTGATTGTGTTCCCTTTCTTCCCCCTTTGAGGTAATCCTACTGTCCTGGTTATCATTTTTTTGTGTTATCATTTCATTGCTTTTCTCTCCTCACTAGGTGGTTCAAATAGCCATGTCTGTCTCTTTCTTGGTGACACTATCACTGTGATCATAGCTTTCATTTATTGAGTTTTTACTATGTTGCAGACATTATGCATTATCCCTGTTAAACTTCATAACAAGCCTGTGGAGTAGGTGTCACTATCTCCATTTTACAGATGAGGAAACAGATTCGGGAATGTTAGTTCACTTTTCCAAGGTCACACAGCTTGTGAGTGGCACAGCCAGGACAGGAGTCCAAGTCTCCAAATTTCACACCACTGGGCAGCCTCACTGTCCACAGTGCAGTCAGTTAACTCAGCTGTGTACAGTTTTAGGGGGGGGGGGGGGGAGGGCTAAATGATTTTTCAGAGTCAGAGCAAGTCATTGGCAGAGCCAGGCTTTTTTAAACCTAGGTCTTGTGCACTTGTTTAATCATTGCCCCTTGCCACAATAAGTGCCAAATGTGAGAATTTTAACTGCCCTGCACATTCATCTACACATTCATTTGTTCATTTAACTCTTGCTGTGTGTTAAACTCCTACTTAAGTTCTGGGATACAGGAAATGCAAAGACTAACAGTAGTTCATTGCCTAGTGGGGAAAACTGACACGAAAATGGGTTTTTACCGTATGGCGTGATAAGTGCTGTCATAAAGATTTGTATCAAGTCCTGTGAGAGCCAATGTGGAGATTCAGGCAAGGAGGTAATGGTTGTGCTGAATTAAGTCTTAGGGGATGACCAGTTCACCCACAGAGAGGTTGAAAAGGGTGTTTCAGGTGGAAGGAATGGCATTTACACAGACTTGGAGGTAAGGAAAGTTATTCAGGAATCTGTAGTGAGTTGGGGTTGTGGATGGTGGGAAGGTGGATTGTAGGCTTGGGACCAGCATGTAGAGCACTTGTGTGCAGTGGTCAGGAATTTGGGCTTTATCCTAATGGCAGTGGGGAGCCTCTGGAGGTTTTTAAGAAGAGAAGAGATGCAGTAAGATTTGTGCTTTAGAAAGGATTATTCTGGATTCGAGGAGGGAGGCTAGCACAGGGAGACCAGTTATGGGAGGGGGCTCACTTATTGGTCTATGTGAGGGTCAAGTCAGATTAACTGCAGGGTGCTGGGGCAAGAACAAAGGAACAGGAGGGAATGGAGAGAGGAGACACTTAGAAGAAGAGCAGATGGGTTTAGTGACTGCTTAGATGGGGGGAGTGGGAAGAGAAAAGGTTTGAAAATAACTCCGAGGTTTTTAGCTCAAACATCTGACTGGATCATGATGCCAAAACAGAATGCTGGAGAAGGAGCAGGTTCTGCTTTAGATATGGTGATTTTGAAATGTTTACTGAAATTGGTGGCAATTTATCTTGGGTATTTTTTGCCTTTTATTAAATGGGCATCTGAGGGAAGGAAGGCAAAATCAGCTGCTTCCCTGGGTCATCAGGAGGACACAGAGATGGACATCAGCCCACCTGGCATGTCTGCTACCCCCTACAGCCATGGCCTTTCAGGTGGGTCACTGGGAACACACTGTATGGCGTGAGGACTTGTTGAGACTGGAGGCCTTAACTTCATGGCAGACGTGCTGCTTTGTGCAGAAGAAGCTGCCCAGTGTGAGATGGCAGAAGAGCACCGCAGGCATAGTCTGCTGGTAAGAGCACCACAGCCTGGCACGGCTCCACTCATCAGCCTTACTCAGGCATCCACTCTTGGGGTTACCCTGACCTACATCTCATTCATTAAATGCAGCCCGTTCTGGGCTAGCCTGTCATGAAGCCTTATTTTCACTGTGGGTGTCATTTTCCTTTGGGGTCAGAGATAGTAATGATGTAGGCTCAGAGGAGGTTGGAGATGTAAAGGGATCCTTAGATGTGATCTAGTCTTGGGTTTTCTCTTTAATATGGTAGAACCCTTTTTAGGGGTGGAAGCCTCATCTGTAAAATACATCAAAGTAGCAATGCTATGGTTGAAGTGAGGTCTGGGGAGTCAGTCCCTGTTCTTCCAGATACTCATTCCCTCCTTTACCACATGAGGCGGTCTTCAAACATTTTCAGGAGGCTGTGGTGTTCCACAGAGTACAATATGAAAACCCCTAATCCAGTCTAATCTCTTCACTTCTGCCTCAGAAAACTGAGGCTCAAGGTGTGGGGAAATGAAGGCAAATGGGCTTTGCTTAGGTCATATGTGAGGCATAACCGATGGAGCTGGAGCCAGGCCCAGATATCTTGCCTTCACACCAGCCCCGCCACTCACCAAGGACTCCTTCTGTCCCTTAATGCCACTCTAGCAAAACTGCATTTAAATTGTATAAATGTACACACTGACCCCCACATGGTAAATAAACAAACAAACACACACACACACACACAAAAACACCGTGGGCAAAAAGTCTGTCTCTTCTTTGAGAGGCAGAAGTTGGTGTTTGACCTCTGTCTGTAGAGTTCTCTCATCTGGGTCATGGGGATCTCTCCTGGTCAGAAGTGATAGTGTATTTGTTCTTGTGCAGTATCAATGGACAGACTTATTTTTACAGATTCTACTGATTCTGGTGTTTGTAATTGGTTATGTCCTTTCTTCTTTGCACAGTATTTTTGCTTTAAAGCCCTAAAAAACAATGTGACCCGTGCGCATCTCCAACAGATAAGAAGGAATCTTGCTCACCAGCAGCATGACATCATGGTGAGGGCTATCTTCTGTACGAGGGAACTTCTCTGATGGACCTTCTCTTTTTGGGGGTGTGGGGGAGTAGATCCAAACCCTTTGACCTGGGTATTATAAAACCGTGCTCTAAACAGCTGAGCCAACTGGCCGGCTTTTCTTTTTTTTTTTTTTAACCTCTGTGCTTAGAGATGTGTACAGACTTTAGACTCTCAAACCTTAATGCCTATTTTCTTTGGTAATCCATACCTCCTGATAGGGAAGCTCTTGTTTTTGCCTTGTTTAATCCCATTTTTTATCTGTTTGCTAAGAAAATTGATAGTTGACTCAGAGGTCAGGGACTGGATTTTAACCCTGACCTAGTGATACAAATATACATTAGTCTTGCATTATAGGAGGCTTTGGTTGCGTTTCCATTATAAGTCTGTTCTCTTCAGTGGTTTGTTTACCTGAGGCAACAAATGTCTGTACTTGTAGATTTTGTTTCTGGTTGTAGGAGGATCGTTTTTTTATTGTTGTTTTATGAAAGTATTCAAACATACAGAAAAATAGAAAGAATAGTATAAATAAGCATCTATATACTCATAACCTAAATTCAATAATTGTTAATATTTGCTATATTTGCTTAATTATTATTATTATTATTATTTTTTTTGCTTAATTATTTTTTGCTGAATTATTTCAGTCAAATTATAGACATCATGAAATAGTATAAATAAGCATCTATATACTCATAACCTAAATTCAATAATTGTTAATATTTGCTATATTTGCTTAATTATTATTATTATTATTATTTTTTTTGCTTAATTATTTTTTGCTGAATTATTTCAGTCAAATTATAGACATCATGACACTTTGCACCTGAACATTTCAGCATGCATTACCCCAAAATAAGGACATTTTCATGTGTATCAATATCATCATACCCAACAAAATTAGCAGTAATTCCTTAAAATTATTCAATACTCAGTCCATTTTCAAATTCTCACAGTTGTCCCCAGAATGTCTTTATAGTTGTTTTTGTCAAATCAGGATTCAGTTAAGAATCACTCACTACATTTGGTTATTATGTCTCTTAAAGCTCTTAATCTAGAGTAGTTTCCAACCCCCAACCACGCTTTTATATATATATATATATTTTTTATATTTTGTAATTGTGGTAAAATACACATAAAATTTATCATCTTAACCATTTTTAAATGTACAGTTCAGTGACATTAAGTACATTCACATTCTTGTGCAGCCATCACCACTATCCATCTCCAGAACTTTTTAAATCTTGCAAAACTGAAACTCTGTACCCATTAAAAATAACCTGGGCTTGCCGGTTAGCTCAGTTGGTTAAGCACAGCCTTATAACACCGAGGTCGTCAGTTTGGATCCCCGTACCAGCCAGCCACCCAAAAAACCACAATAACCCCCCAATCTTTTTCCCCTCAGCCCCAAGCAACTACTGTTCTACCTTCTATCTCTATGAATCTGACTACTCTAGCGATCTTTTAAGTGGAATCATTACAATATTTGTTCTTTGTGACTGGCTTATTTCACTCAGCATAACACACACTATTTTTTAATGACATTGACTTTTTGTAAAGGTCGGGTCAGTTATTTTGTACAATGTTCTTTATTCCTGATTTATCTGATTGTTTCCTTTTGATGTCATTTGATTTTCCTTTATTCTATGTAGTTCCTATAAACTGGAAGTTAGATCTAAGGGCTCTATTAGATTGAAGTTAATGTTGGCAAGACTACTGCATAGGAGCTAATATGCGAAAAGGTCAGTTTTAATTTCTAAAATGACTTTTTAAAGTGGCATTGTCTTCTGGGAAGCCCAGATTAGGAATAACTTCTTCATTTAGATATCTGTAGATGGGAAGAACCATCTTTTTGCCTTTTACTTTGGCCCAGAGTCATTCCATAACTCGGCCATTATTATTTTGTAAGCATTTGGTGTGTTGGCTGCTCCAAATTGAGGTAATTCCTGCTTTGGGGGAGCTCATGGTCTGTTGGAGTAAGAATTCACTACCTAATAGGGTAAGTGAACCTCCATTTCCTTCCTGTCTTATTTCAGCTGCTGCGCAGGTTCTGGAACCTCTGGCAATCTCGAATTGAGCAAAGGGAGGAAAGAGAACAGCTCTCCTTACTGCACGCTGCCTGGGAGCACTACAGGTAGGGACTCTGGCGTCATCCTTGGGCTCTCCATGGACACCTTGTGACTCTGACTCACTGTTTTCCAGGAGAGATTGCTTACCCTTCCACGAGTTAATGCAACATATTCAGAAAGACCTTTTGGGTGGGCCGGCCCGTGGCTCACTCGGGAGAGTGTGGTGCTGATAACACCAAGGCCACGGGTTCGGATCCCATATAGGGATGGCCGGTTAGCTCACTGGGTGAGCGTGGTGCTGACAGCACCAAGTCAAGGGTTAAGATCCCCTTACCGGTCATCTTTAAAAAAAAAAAAAAGAAAGAAAGACCTTTTGGGGAGAGGGGGCCTGCTGTAAACCAGTGGTTCCTGAATTTGCATTTCATTTTTGGCTGATCAGATGAGAGGTAGAAGGCCTGTGGCTCACTCGGGAGAGTGCGGTGCCGATAACACCAAGGCCATGGGTTCGGATCCCATATAGGGATGGCCGGTTAGCTCACTGGGTGAGCGTGGTGCTGACAGCACCAAGTCAAGGGTTAAGATCCCCTTACCGGTCATCTTTAAAAAAAAAAAAAAGAAAGAAAGACCTTTTGGGGAGAGGGGGCCTGCTGTAAACCAGTGGTTCCTGAATTTGCATTTCATTTTTGGCTGATCAGATGAGAGGTAGAATGAGGATATTTGTACTGGTTCTTAGCCACCATAGTCTGAAGTGTGTGCCTAGCTCACTGCCTCAATCTTTCAGGCATTTGTGATGTTCACATCTTAGAAATTATGAAGAAAAGGGCCAGGCTAGCTGGATATTTGTGGCTCAGTCTTGAAGAGTGCAGAGAGTGTCCTCAGTTTTTTAGAGCTAATCATCCAGTTAAAATAAATAAATAAAAGCACTACATATCTGTAAGGCAAACTCAAGAATGTATAGGAAGGAAGGTATAAAGTGAAAATAAAAGTTGCCTGGCCTCCTTCCTACAACTCCTGAGTCTTACTCCTCAGAGGTAACCACCATTAACTTTCTTGCTGCCAGAAATGTTCAGCAAATCCTCTCCTTCTCTTCCCTCCCTCCGTCTCCGCTCCCCAGAGTATAATCAACTTAATTTGCATAGTTATAAGCCCAATTTTGGAGCATTTTTTTTAAATGAGTCAGTGAGAATGCCAGTGTTTAACTGACTCAATTCAGAGTTATCAAGGTATATCATTATTCTAAATCCTGGTTTAAAAAACTGAGTGTGGCTCTCACTCTCAAATCACTTTATGAAAGAGCGTGTGTCACAGACCCAGGTAGTTCTAAACAAGCCCCAGAACTTGACCATAAAACCAGAAAATTCAGGATATCTGGGGTATTTCCTACAAATTTCCTAAGTGCCAGATATACTGTGCTTGGTGGCCTAATTAGTTTTACAAGAAGGTCATCAGAATTTTTAGGCAATCCACAGTCCAAAATCAGGGGTTGACAGATTTCATGTTAGATATCAGGTTTTTGTTTCTTTATCTCCTAGAATGAAACTAGTAAGCCCATGAGGTGGCTTTAACTCTCGAGAAATAACTATACCGATTTTATCTGCTGTAAAAACAAAATGAAATTTTGGAAACCTGAAACCTCAAGGGCAGTACCTTGGTGTTCTGTGTTTTATTTCAGGATAACATTGCTACACAAGTGTATCAAGTTGTGGTTACAGTATACTCAGAAGAGGCGATGTAAGCAGGTATGAAGTACGTTTTAGCAGATAGCTGTACCGGTTTACATTCTTCGATACGTTTACTTTGGAAAGATTCTTGGAAAAGACCTGTGCGGGGAGGTCTTGTTCTGATTTGCAAGAGAGGGTACTGTGAAAGCTCAAAGCTATTTCCTCCAGTACCCACTAGTGATGTCACAAAGACTGTGTAGCTCCTATTCTTTCATCTGCTGTGAAAATGCAGGTGCTCTCCGAAAGTAGTGAGCTCTTACCAGCAGTTCACATCTTTATTCAAATTCATTTATTATATGAGTTAGCCAGCCCGTCACCCAGTGGGACCATCACGAGGGATGCAGAGCATAAGTTCTATATCCCAGTGCTAAACAGTGTGTGACATGTGTCCCCCAGTGGGTGGAGGAGGTAGGAGTCAAGATGATGAATTAACGAAGGCAGATTAAGAACGATAGATTCAGGGCCAGCCTGGTGGCGCACTGCTACAGTGCACCGCTTGGGAGTGCAGTGGCGCTCCTGCCGAGGGTTCGGATCCCACATACAGACTGGCCGCTCACTGGCTGAGCGAGGTGCGGGTGCAACACCGAGGGTTGCAATCCCGTTGCCGATCCCGGTCCGGTACGGGCGCAACACTGAGGGTTGCGATCCGTTGCCGGTCACGAAAAAAGACAAAAAGGAAGAAAAAAAAAAAAGAACGATAGATTCAGTTCCATTTAAGAATTACTTACTAAGCAATTGCTATGCCTCAGACACTGTTAAGCACTGAGGATACAACTGTGCTATAAAGTAGACAAAATTCCTGCTCTCACAGGGTTTGTAATTTAGCACCAGGTGGCAGATAAATTTGATCTTGCAGGCCAGTTCTGTTAATTGTGAGTAGCTGTCTGGAATGCTGAACTAAGAAGGACTTGGAATCCACATTCAGGCTTAGTGAGAATGTGTGTTCAGTTGATGATGCCTGCATGGGCATTGCTGTGAGAAGTGACCCTTTTGGCCATCCCTGGCAGTGAAACAGGACGACAGAAACCAAACTCCTCCCAGTTATTTAATTGTGCTGCCCTCCCCACCCCCATCTCCGTCTTCTGCTAGAGTATAACAAGTAAACCTAAAGATTTTGGCTGGATCCCCATAGTTTTGGGATAGAATCCAAATGTTTAGTGCGGCATACAACTCCTTTGGGAGTTAGTCCCTGTCTCTCTCCCCTTTCCTGTTATCACTCTGTTCCTTTACAACTGTACTCTGTCCAATTAAACTGTGAGTAGTTCCCTGAATGTACTCTTCTCTCCTGCTTCTCAACTGTACCTGCAGTTCTCTATTCCTTACTACCCTTTCAGCTCAGGTGTTACCTCCTCCCCCAGCCCAGCCAACCTCCATTTGCATAGCTTTACTAGCCTTTCTCTCCTGCCAGGCTGTGAGCTCCTTGAGGGTACAGCCTGTCTCTTCTTCTTTCTTTTTTTTTTTTTTTAAAGATGACCGGTAAGGGGATCTCAACCCTTGACTTGGAACACCAAGTCAGCACCACGCTCAGCCAGTGAGCGAACCGGCCATCCCTATATGGGATCCGAACCCGGGGCCTTGGTGTTATCAGCACCGCACTCTACCGAGTGAGCCACGGGCCGGCCCCAGCCTGTCTCTTCTTAGCCGAGCACAATGCTTGGCATAGGGTAAGTACCGACTGATATTTGGATGAATGAATGCACAAATGAACAAACGAACGAACTGCCATTGATCATGTCAGAGTTTCTCCCAAGGATCATCTCAGTTTTTGGAGTTTGGATGTAACCCAGGGTATGGCTTGTTTTTGTATCACCCTTGCTTTCCACACCTAGGAAATGCTTACACTCACTGCGTTCGTCAACATCACTTTGGATTATGCACCTGTTTGTGAAAGGACCTGTTCTCTTAAATTTATTTAATGCAAGCTCAACAGAATATAGGGAGGCCTTTTAGAAAAAGACTGAGTGCCAGGGTTGAAAGGTTGTGTTTATTCAAGATGAAAAGGAAACAGAGGATCTTTTTCGTTTCCCTTCTGGAAAGAGAGAACTCCCCTTGACACAGGGGCCCAGTGTTGGTGGAGAGTCCAGGGTTAGTGTTCTTATCTCTCACACTGCTCTGGCATGGCCTGTTTTTGAAGGCAGAGCAGGGAAAAATAGAGCACTGGTTAGTTGTTGTTTTTAAATCTTTAGCTAACAATCTATATGTCATCTCCTGGTATAGGTATCCCAAGAGCACATCAGCTCTTTCTATTTTAGGAGACAATAAAAATATTATTTATTGTGGGTTTCTTTTTAAAAAGTAATGTATTTACTAATCACTAATAAACTTACTAATTTTTTTTTCCTTTTTGTCTTTTTTTCGTGACCGGTAACGGGATCGCAACCCTTGGTGTTGCGCCCGCACCGCGCTCAACCAGTGAGCGGACCGGTCTCTATATGGGATCCGAACCCTCGGTGGGAGCACCACCGCACTCCCAAGCGCCACACTCTACCGAGTGTGCCACCGGGCCGGCCCGAAACTTACTAATTTTTAATTAAAAAAGCAATATATACAGAATGGAAAAATGTTTGCTAATTGTTGTAGTTAGGTGTTAGGGTCATGTGGATTCATTATACTGTTGCTTCTACTTTTGTTTATATATGAAAATGCCCATAATAAAAAGTAAAAAGAAAAATAATGTATAGACATTACAGAAAATTTGGAAAGTATAGAAAGACATAAAGAAAAAAAAATAACCTCATGGTCTTGCCTGTTAAGATGACATTTGGTGAGTAAACCTGGCATCTTTTTTCCTCTGTGTGGGTAGAGTGTTGTGTACTCATATAAGCATATTGTTCTGATCATCTGTTGCCATGTAAAAAATCATGCCAAACTCAGTGGCATAAAACAACCACCATTCTATTATGCTTAAGGATTCTTTTGTTCTAAAATTGAGACAGGACATAGTGGGGATGGCTGATCTCTGCTCCATGATTACTGAGACTTCAGCTAGGAAGATTCTAATGGCAGGGCGTTGGAATCATCTAGAAGTTTCTTCACACACAGGTCTAGTTATTGGACTGAATGACTTAAAGACTGGGCTCAGCTGAGGGTGTTAATCAGGGAGCCTATATATGGCCTCTCTGTGAGGCTTGGGCTCTCTCTTTTTTTTTTTTTGTGACCAGTAAGGGGATCGTAATCCTTGGCTTGGTGTCGCCCGCACCATGCTCAGCCAGTGAGCGCACTGGCTATCCCTATATAGGATCTGAACCCGCGGCCTCGGTGCTCCCAGCGCCACTGCACTCCCAGCACTGCACTCTCCTGAGTGAGCCACAGGGTCGGCCCTTGGGCTTTCTTACAGCATGGTGGCTTTGGGGTAATCAGACATCAGGGCTTAATAGTGAGTGTTCCAGTGAATGAGGAAGAATCTGTATGGCCCTTTATGTAGCGTTGGAAGTCACATATTGTCACTGTCAACATGCTGTATTGGTCAAAGCAGCCACTGTTCCATCCAGAGTCAAGGGAGGGGACATAGACCACTTCTTAATGAAGGAGGATCAAAGTACCTACAGCCGTGTTTTTAAAGTCTCTATACATGCATATATGCTTTTTCCCCCCAAAATTTTGGATCATGGAGGTATATATATTCCTATGTCAGTTGTCTGTCTTCCCACAGTGAAATGGTAGCCTTTAATAATTACATAAAGGCTGGCTGGGTAGCTCAGTTGGTTAGAGTGTAGCCTTATAACACTGAGGTCACGGGTTCAGATGCCCATACTGGCTAACCATCAAAAAAATATATATAAAATAATCTGTATGGCAAATAAACTCTATAAACATAATCAAAAGACATATTATAGGATGGGAATAATATTTATATTTATAACACACATGACAAAGAACTAATAAATTTTTTAAGGTTCAAACAGCCCATATATGTCATTGAGTTGGTTGAATACTGATAGTAAACAGGCAATGGGTATGAAAATCTTAGCCATAGGAAAAAAACTTTAGATAAATATATATAAAAGTATGTGTGTATGTGTATGTGTATATATGAAGAGATACTTAACCCGCTTTTAATTAAAGAAGTGAAAATTTTTCATCTATCATATTTTTCATGTAGCATATTGGCAAAGATCAAAAATTATGATTTTCATCTTTTCCTGAATGTTACTGTATAAGAAGCAATCCTCCCTCAAGAGTGTGACCCTGAAAGGTAAAAATTAAAGTACAAAAGCAATTTGTTGCTTTACTTTAGCTGCTACAGGCCAGAGCAGATGGTCATTTCCAGCAGAGAACCCTGACTGCTACCTTCCATGCATGGAATATACTTTGGCGATGGCACCAGAAGGAAAGTGTCCTCGATGCAAGAGCAACACGTTTTCACAGGTATGGTTTGCAGCTCCTATCTGCACTGGGGCAGGCGTCCAGTCTAACTCTGCTGAACACATAGCTCATTTGCTTTGCTTTTCACCCTCCCAGCCCCTCAGGCTCTGGTTCTTCAATAATGTGGGCTCATTGATTTCATCTCACAGGATAAAAAGCCAGTATTTCCCCTGGGAAAACTTTTGTCCATCTTTAGTGCAAGTGCTTTCAAAACAGCTTGTGTTTTATGCCCCTATCCTCTTTACAAGCCACTGAGAGCTCCATTAAAGCTGCCCATTAGCTTGCTGGATCAGAGTGTGGTGGGACCTTGTATCACCTTGGCAGGCATTCTTGAGTGTGATTTCCCTGAACCAGTTCCTGTTCTGCTAGACCTGGCTTTTTGAAGTCTTGAAATTATAGTCATAAACAAAACTAGAAAGGTCAAGGAGCAGAGCTGCATCTTTTTAGCTCCCACTGGGGCAAACTTGCCCACAGCAGGTCCTTATTACATGTTGGTGGAACATTATGGGGAAATTATTAATCACCAACTGTGTGTCTGCCACTGCAGTGGGCATTGTGTAATGGAAGAAAGAAAACAAATATATAAGCTCATTCCTCCTATGACATCATTATCTTCACTAATAATTTCCTTCTCACAGCAGTCCTGAGAAAACAGGTTCAAAATGATAAATGACTTAAAGCCAGTAAGTGGCAGAGCCAGGGTTTAAATTCACATCTCCGATTCCAAAGTCCAGGTGCTTTCTACTTGATCAAAAGGAAGGTCTTTTTGATGACTTTGTTGGAGCTTTAAATTTTTGTGAAGAGATAAGACTGATACACAAGAAACAATTGAAACACAATTCAAGAGAGTAGATCCATTGTCCTCAATTATGTAAACCACAGTTTTAGAGCTCAGAGCTAGTACTGAGGGTGGCTGGGGAGCTTTGAAGTACCTGGGGAGGCTTCTTGTGAGCTGAGGGGGTGAAGAGGGAGGGCCAGACTTCCACATGAGTTTTGGAGGAGAGAACACATCCAACCTCCATCAAGGTCATAGAGAAACAGTGATGAGTTTTGGATTGGTTGCTGTTTCTGAGGCATGATTGGGAGAAACCAGGATTCACTAGGGGTTGAGTACTATCATGGATATCCTCAGTAATAAGTGACAACAGCAAAGCATGCCTGGGACATCATTGGTAAGAAGCAATAATCACTCAAAGAAAGGGGGTCTTTATGGCATTTTACGACTGCTACATGACCTTGGGAGAAACAATGTTTCTTTGCAACTGGCTTTTTCTGCATCTGTCCTTCCAGTCTGATTAATGGTAGGGCTGTTTTTACTCTTGAGTCTGAGCTGATTTTCATTCTTTGAATCCCAGATAGGATTTGACTCTTTTGACCTTTATCATGTATTTAACCATTTGTATCTTCTTTTATGAAGTATCTGTTCGAGTCTTTTCCCTAGTTTTTTTAAAAATTGGGTAATATATCTTTTTTTAAAAAAATCTTTTGTTTTTGTTTCATTTTTTCCCCTCATTTTTCACTTTTATTTATTAGGAAGGACCCATGGAGGGTTATGTATCTTTCAAAAAAATTATTATTGATTTGCAGAAGTTCTTTATGTATTCCGTATACAAATCCTTTGTTGGATAGATGTATTGGTATTGGAAATATTTTCTTCCAGTCTGTGCCTTGTCTTTTTGTTTTCATTTTCTTTCTTTTCTTTTCTTTCTTTCTTTTTTTTTTTTTTTTTTTTTTTTTTTTTTTTTTTTTTTTTTTTTTTTTTTTTTTGGTGGCTTACCAGTAGTGGGATCCGATCCCCTTACTTTAGTGTTATAACACTGTGTTCTAACCAACCAACTAAGCTAATCAGTCAGCTCTCGTTTTCATTTTCTGACTGTATTTTTTTTTAATTGAGAGCAAAGTAGCTGGTTATATATATTTTGAAATAAATTAACAGTATTTGAGAAGTATTTGATTTTGATACAATCCAATTTATCAATTTTTTCTTTTATGTTTAGTGATTTTGGGATTCTCTCTAAGAAATATTTACTACTCCAAGATTTCAAAAAATATTTTCCTACATTTTCTCTGGAAGCTTTATAGGCTTAACACTTACATTGATCTATGATTATCTTGTGTTATTTTTGTGTGTGTGGTGTGAAGTAGGTGTCAAGGTTTTTTTTTTCTATATGTTTATCAGGTTTTTCCAGCACCATTTGGGTTTTTTTTTTTTGTTTTTTTTTGTTTTTGTTGTTGTTGTTGTTGTTTTTTAAAAGATGACCAGTAAGGTGATCTTAACCCTTGACTTGGTGTTGTCAGCACCACGCACTCCCAAGTGAGCTAACCGGCCATCCCTATATAGGGATCCGAACTCGTGGCCTTGGTGTTATCAGCACCACACTCTCCCAAGTGAGCCACGGGCTGGCATCATATGGGAAGGTTTTTGACTATAGATTTAATTTTGTAAATAGGTGTAGAGCTACTAAGAGTTTCTATTTATTTTTGTGTCAATTTTGATAAGCTCTCTGCTTTTCAAGGAATTTTAAAATTTCATCTCAGCTGTCAAATAAAAGCTGTTCATAGGTGCCTTATCTTTTTAATGTCTGTAGAATCTGTAATGATACAACCTCTGGCATTCCTGATTTTATTAATTTGTTTTTCCTTTTGTTTGTTTTAACTTAGTCTTGCCTAGTAGGGATTTATCCATTTTTTAAAAATCAAACTTTTTGCTTTGCCAAATTTTTTATTTTTTACTTTTCATTAATTCATTTTAGCTCTTTATTTTTTAGTTCTTTCTACTTACTTTGGATTAATTTGCCTTTTTTCTGTCTTCTTAAAGTGGAAGTATAGATCATCAATTTTTTTTGTTAGATTATTTTTAAATCTTTCTTTTCTAATATAAGCATTTTGAGATATAGGGTTTCCTTCTATTTTAGCTTATTCCACCAATTCTGACATGTTGTATTTTCATTATCATTCAGTTTAAAATATATTCTAATTTCCCTTATGATTTCTTCCTTGACCTATGGTTTATTTAGAAGTGTGTTGTTTGATGTTCAAATATTTAGGAATTTTCTTGATATATTATTATTTTAAATTTCTAATTTAATTCCACTGTGGCCTAGAGAACATTGTATGAGTTCAGCTTTTGTGTATTCAAATTTATTTTATGGATCGATATATGAGGTTTATACTGGTGAACATTCCATGTGCACTTAAGAAGAATGTTTATACCACAGCTGATGGGTGTAGTGTTCTATAAATATCTATTAGATCAAGTTGGTTGATAATCATCCTCAAATTTTCTATATCTTTACAAATTTTTGGTTTATTTGTTCTATCAATTACTAGAAAGCAGTGCTAGAAATATCCAACACTGATTATAGATTTGTCTGTTTCTTTCAGTAAAACTTTCAGTGTTGTTTCATGTGTTTAGAAACTGTGTTATTTGTACATGTACATTTTGGATTTTTATGTCTTCATGATTAATTGCACCTTTTATCATTTTGATATATCTTTATTTTGGGGAATATTTCTTTTCTCAAAGTCTACTTTGACTTATATTAATATATCCTTACCAGCTTTTTTAAATGTTTACTGTTTGTGTGGTTTCTCACTCTTACTTCTCCACTCTTTTACTTCCAATTTATCTTGCATATTTAATAAAGCATGTCTCCTGTAAACAATATATAATAGTGTTTTAATTTTTTATCCAGTCTGACAATCTGTCTTTTAATTGGAGTGTTTGGTTCACTTATATTTAGTGTAATCATTGATATAGTTGGGCTAAAGTCCACATCTATTTTTTGTTTGTTTCTTCCTCTTTTTCTGCCTTGTTTAGAGTTCATTTAAAGTTTTTTTATATTTTATTTTACTTCCTGCATTGACTTTTCGGCTTTGTATCATTTGTAGTTTTTTAATTGTTGCTCTAGGGATTACAATATGTATCCTTAACTTATTACAGTTCTGTTTAGAATCAACATACCACTTCATTTTAAATGTAAGAACATAAAAACAGTGAAATTCCATTTCCTCCCCATGCTTGATGGTATTTGTTGTCATACTATGTCATTTTATGTCTACTATACATATATTTTACCTCACAATATAGTGTTATTATTTTTGCTTTAAACAATCAATATTCTTTTTAAAAATTAAAGAGAAGAAAAATATAGTCTTTTATATTTACCCACATATTTTCCATTTCCAGTGTTCTGTGTTTCTTCCTGTAGATTTGCATTTTCTTCTGCATCATTTTCCTCCTCCTGAAGATAATTCTTTAGCGTTTTTATAATACAGGTCAACTGGAGATAAATGATCTCAGCTTTTGTTTATGGTTTCTCCACTCTGGGTGGGCCAGAACTCCATCTCCCAGTCCTGTCCAACCTCTGGCATCTCTGTTCAGCTCTTAGCCCTGCAGCAGCTACTCTCTGTTCAGCCTCAGGGAGTCTGCATGTGCAGCCATCATCAGAGGACCTGGGACAACCTCAGTAAAATTCTGGTTATTCCCCTCTGCTCAGCTCCCTCCTTTCCAGTACCCTGCTCCCACATTCCAGCCCCTTTAGCAGTGTTGAAATCCAGTCCCTGCCTCCTCAGCTCAGTGAGACTGTCATACTCTGCTTGGCCTCCCTCTCTCTCACTGCCCAGAAAGTGCCCTCAGGCAGAAAGCCTGGGTGGCCTAGGAGCTCCTCTTGCATGTTTTTTATCTCTCAAGCATCAAAATCTGCACTGCCTGTTGTCCACTGCCAGAAAACAGTTGCCTCATATATCTTGTCTAATTTTATAATATATGGCTGGAGGATGGGTCAAGGAAGGACCAGTGACTGTGTGATAGCTGGAAGTAGAACTCTGTTTTGAGTGATGTGCTTCATGTGTTAAATCCCAGAGGAGCAATCTCCCCTAGCACCCAGCATAGGTCCTCATGACTTTGCCAATATGGAGCCCTTAGTGGCTATTGATCGGTTGTCCCAGCACTGCTTTTGCAGGATTTGATGTCATTAATAGTGAGCAGGTAGGCCTAGGCAGAGTTGACAAAGCAGTGGTTTCCAAACCTGTCTACCTGTCTAGTTCACCTGGAACACTAGTTTTAAAGTGCTCTTTCCTGGGGTCCACCTAAGTCCTGCTCAGTCAGCCTTGGAGGCTCCACTCAGACTGGCCCCTGTTTTTTAAACAGTCCCCCAAGGATTGGTGTAGAAGCAGCCTGGCTGGTCAGCAGCCACTGAAAAGGTATTCACAAATGATCACTGATCAGTGTTGTTAATTTAATATAGAATTAATGAAGAACTCATTAATCAGGGTCTCAGAGTGAGTCTTTTTCATACTGTGCAAAGGCTTGGCTGATACTGAAAATAACTTAGAAAATGTTGGGTTTTGAGGGGCTGGCCCATGGCTCACTTGGGAGAGTGTAGTGCTGACAACACCAAGTCAAGGGTTAAGATCCCCTTACTGGTCATCTTTTCTTTATTATTTTTTTTTTTTCCTTTTTCTTTTTTCGTGTCCGGCAACGGATCGCAACCCTCAGTGTCACGCCTGTACCGGGCCGGGACCGGCAATGGGATCGCAACCCTCAGTGTTGCACCCGCACCTCGCTCAGCCAGTGAGTGGGAACCGGTCTGTATGTGGGATCCGAACCCTCGGCGGGAGCGCCATCACGCTCTCAAGCGGCGCACTGTAGCAGTGCGCCACCGGGCCGGCCCTACTGGTCATCTTTTAAAAAAAAAAGAAAATATTGGGTTTTTGGTTTTTTGGTTATTGTCTGTGTATTAGTCCATTTTCTGTTGCTTATAATACCTATAAAATACCTGAGACTGTAATTTATAAAGAAATGAAATTTACTTCTTACTGTTTGGGAGGCTGAGAAGTCCACAGTCCATGAGGTGTATCTGGTGAGGGCCTTCTTCTGGGTGGGAACTCTTTACAGGGTCCCATGATGACACAGCCAATCACATGGCAAGGATGGCACACCAGCCAGCGACCAAAAAAAAAAAAAAAAAAAATTCTGAGCAAAGGATCAGATCTTACAAATTCAAAAGAAAAAAAAAAGCTATAAGTGCCACTCGCACGACAACCCACTAAACCATTAACCCATTGCTCCACGAAGGACTAATCCATTCACAAGGCACAGTCTCATGATCCAACCATCTGTTAAAGGTCCCACCATTCAACAGTGCTGTAGTCTGATTTTCCGCCCTCTTAACACTGTTGCAATGGGGATCAAGCTTCAATGGATTTGGGGAGGATATTCAGTCCACAGAAGTCTGCTTTCCTTCTGTTCTCTTTCCTTTTCTTCTCTATCATCTAAACTTATTCGCCTCTTATATAATAACACAGTGTAAGAGGAAAAATCCAGTTATTTGGAGCTTCTAGTTCTGTTGGAGTTTCTGTTTTATTTTAAGTGCTTTCTTTTTTTTTTTTTTTTAAGGGAGACATTAGAGAAGCAAGTATTTGCTATCTGGTGGCAGAAGATGTTTCAGCATCGAGAAAATCGCTTGGCAGAGAGAATGGTAAGTGTCTCTCCCTGAAGAGGTGCCTGGAGGGGTGGGACCCATTTCAAGCCCTTGCACTCACTACCTTTCTTTCTCAGGAAGTCACACAAGAACCAGACCCACACTGAAAGATTCCTGCTTGTGACTCATGAGGCAGGGGCAGGGCATCCATGTCCTTTGTCAGTGGAGTTTATGGACAGCTTCTGGGCTAGGGCACCTCCTGAATGTCCGTTTCTTTTTGCCTTTGTCATTATTCTTGGCCTGTAGATTCTTCCATCTTCTTTACCTCACTCCTAGTTGATTTGTTCTGTTTTCTTCCTCCCACCCTGCCTCAGGCCATCCTTCATGCGGAGCAGCAGGTTCTGCATCGGTCCTGGTCCACATGGCATCAGCAGGTAGCAACACATCACCAGGAGCGGGAATGGCAAGCAGTAGCCTGTGCCCACCACCGCCACAGGCAGCTCAGGAACGCTTTCTGCGTTTGGAGGCAGAGTGCCCAAGGGCAGAGAACAGAGTGAGTGGCCAGTTCTGCCTTAGAAGTTCTTCTCATCCCAGGCCAACTTTGACCATAGTGGCAGCACCGTCAGCTCCAAATACCCATCCGGAGGGGTGTGTTAGCCTAGACTCTGGTTGTAAGTTCCAGAAATTCAACCTGAAACAGTCTGGGTAAATTCAAGGCTGTAGTAACAGGATCTTAGAGTACCCTGTTGCACACCCAGCCTCAGGAACCTGGCTGGGCACAACAGGGCTCTGTGGATCCAGGAGGTCCTGTCCATTGGCTACATCCTGCTTACTTGTTGGGGCCCATTCGAAGTGACCATGGCCAGAGAATAGACTGATGGGCCCATTTGAGGATAGCTGACCACTTCAGGACGAGCAGCTGTGGCCATTGGACAGGTTGTGGCACCTTTTACCACATCACATTGTTAGAGGGGGCAGGGCAGACAGCCCGTGTATCCACTGCAGAGATTGTCCTGTTTGGTGCTTTTTGTATCCACTGTGTGTTCCGAGGATCTCACTACCTCTCAGACTGGCCGCATTTAACCTCCTTTCATTCAGGGGCTGAAGCACGCCTGCACATGAGTAAGTTTGAAACCCCGCTAAGTTATATGCAAAAATTTGATTATATGTGCACTCTTTTGGGAGAAAGCCCAACTCCTTTGGCAGCTCTTCATAGGGGGTCTCGACTCCCCCTCAAATTTTACCACTTGTTAGGGGCCACGGTCTGCAAAGAGGAGCCCATCGAGAGGGCCCTAGCTGGGTCTGGGCTACAGCACTGAACTCCCCGTCTCCCACAGGAGGATAGGCAGGATGCGGGCAGCAGAGTTCCACTCGGCACAGATCCTGCGTTGGGCCTGGAACAGGTGGAGGGAGGTAAGGCTTTGGCGCGGGCGCCACCCAAGTGTGGCTTTTGGACAGGTGGAGCTGCGTGTCAGCGTGACTCAGAGCAGACATATGGGCTCCTTGGCGGTTCCTCAGAAACCACCTGCCTCTGAGCTGAGAGATGAGAATGGGCAGCAGATGAAGAAGTGTTTGTTTTTTTTTTTTTAAAGATGACCGGTAAGGGGATCTTAACCCTTGACTTGGTGTTGTCAGCACCACGCTCACCTAGTGAGCGAACCGGCCATCCCTATGTGGGATCCGAACCCAGGGCCTTGGTGTTATCAGCACCGCACTCTACCGAGTGAGCCACGGGCCGGCCCTGAAGAAGTGTTAACTTGGTTTTGTGAGATGATTGTTTCAAAATTCCTTGTTCTTTCCCTTTTTTTTTTTTTTTGTCTTTTTTCGTGTCCGGCAACGGATCGCAACCCTCAGTGTCGCGCCCGGACCGGACCGGGACCGGCAACGGGATCGCAACCCTCGGTGTTGCTCCCACACCTCGCTCAGCCAGTGAGCGGGACCCGGTCTGTACATGGGATCCGAACCCTCGGCGGGAGCGCCACCGCACTCCCAAGCAGCGCACTGTAGCAGTGTGCCACCGGGCCAGCCCCAAAATTCCTTGTTCTTTTTGGTGCTGGGTTGTACTTATCTGAACTTACTGAATCTAAAATTCCTGATCTAACCATTTACAGGAATCCTACTCAGGGTAAAAGTGTGTAAACTAACATTGAGAAAGATTTACTGCATCAGGCACTTGCCTCATTTTATCCTCACAGACCCCTAAAAAGTACATATTTATAGATGAGGAAACTGAGGCTCAGGAGGGTTAAGTACCTTATCCGAGCTTTCACAGAAGGAGTGTGAATAGAAGCAGAGCTGGGACCCCCCCACACCTCGTCCTTCAGCCCCCTGGAGCTGCCCTCTCCTCTGTCTGCAGTGCCTGGACCTCCAGGGAGCTGAACGGCAGGAGCTGAGGCGCGCAGACCTGCATTGCCAGCAGACCTTGCTGCACAGGGTGCTGCAGAAGTGGGTGGTAGGAGCTGCTTCTTCCCTCCAGATCTGGGGGCAGGGGAGATTTCTAAAGATTTTGTTTCCCTTCCTTTTTCTTCCTGCCCCTCCCAAAACAGAGTAATTGACAAGCCTCAAACAGAGCAAGTGGGTCTTACAGCCTCTGTCCTTGCTCAGCAAAGTGAGAACAAGTGCTGTCTGTGGGCGACAGCCTTACAGGAAAAGTGGCCCTTTGTCCGAGAGTCCAGTGGTTTGACTTATTGGGCGAGGGTCTCAGAAACAGTCTTCTCCTGGGCCGGCCCGGTGGCGCACTGAATAGTGCGCCGCTTGGGAAGCGCGGCAGCGCTCCCGCCCGAGGGTTCGGATCCCACATACGGACTGGTTCCCGCTCACTGGCTGAGCGAGGCACGGGAGCAACGCCGAGGGTTGCAATCCCGTTGCCAGTCCCCGGTCCGGTACGGGGGCAACACTGAGGGGTGCGATCTGTTGCCGGACACGGAAAAAAGTCAAAAGACAAAAAAAAAAAAAAAAAAAGAAACAGTCTTCTCCCTGTGGACTGGGGAGGGGAGGGTCTGCTGCCCTTGGAACTAGGGGCTTTTGGCCTCTCCCTACCCTTTGTGAGTGCTCTGGGCATGGCAGCCTGTTATAAATGTACCTCTGAGACCTACTTGGAATAGGGAGAAGTGGGGTCCCTGGATGGCTTCCAGTCCTTCTCATCTCCCACAGGCTTACCAGGGGAAGATGCAGAGCGTCCTCCAGGAAGTGGCAGCCAGGGAGAGCCGGCATAACAGGCAACTGCTACGGTGAGTCTCCTGAGTGTCTCCCGGGGCCCAGGCTGAGGAATGAGGAACAGACCCCCAGACCCAGGCGTTTTGAGAAGTCCTGCCTCGAGCTAGGTAGAGGATGGGCCTAGATGCCTCATACTGCATAGTTGTAGTTTTGGTTTGTCCATAGCAAGCACTTCATTCGTGGGTTCATCTCCATTTGTCCTGAACCCTTGCTGTGTGCAGGGTCTCGCCTGCATGCCTGCGAGGGACCCCCCCTCAGCGCTTTTCCCTCCCAGTTTCACACCTGCAAGAGTCAGCTTCTCAAGGCACCATTTCATCTCTCTTGCTCTGGAGGCTGCAGCGACTCCCTTTCCTATCAGTTCCCAGGCAGCCCCCTCCCACCTGGCTCCTGGCTTTTCACTGACTCTCCAGAGTCACCTCTCAGCCCTCTAGGACCGTCTGCATCTCTCAGCCCGTGGAAGGCACATATGTAGCTTTGGCCCTGGCTCCCTGATGAGCCCATCCTATGTTCTAAGCCAAGCTCTAAGCTCACTCCTTCCCAGTAGGCCTCCCTCATTCTCTCTTTTTTTCCTCCTTTGTGTTTATTCAGCCCACGCTACTCCAGGTTTCCTGTGGCCAGTGGGCCTCATGGACTTCCATCACCTCTGTCCCTCCTCTGGGTCCTTTAAAGTGCCCATCCAGCTCTTGAGACAGAGCAGAATAAGAAGGAGGGACTCCCTGGGCAAGCACACCTGAGGTTTAGGTGCCTTTGCTCCGGCTTTCCTATCTCTTATCTCTCTCCGTACTTCTCCTATCACAGTGTGACTCACCTGTATTGCCAGTTGCTTGGTTACAGCTCTTATTCTCTGTAGGACATAAACTGCAGAGGATGTGGTGTTTGGTCTTGTGCTCTGCCAGTTCTCCAGGGCTCACCCAGAGAGCCCTGAGCCCTGGCACAGAGCAGGTGCTCAGCAAGCATTTGTTGGATGTAGATGAGAACGTAAACATGGGTGTCAGGGAAACAGATATCTTAAGCATGGAGAGTCCTTGACTCAGGAATGGGGGGAGAACTTGGAGCAATTCACAGAATCCTCCCACATCTCTCCATACTGGTGTCATCTGCCTTCACCCTGGCCTGTGCACCTGCAGGGGTGTGTTACATCGCTGGAGAGAGAACACTGTGGCCCGTGTGGATGAAGCCAAAAAAATGTCTCTAGCAAGTGCTCACTACCGAAGGACCATGTGTTCCAAGGTGAGATATAGGGAGGCAAGCTGGTCACCCAGGAGGGTTGGAGACTGGGGGTGGCGCCTGAGACTTGAACTAAATAAGGAACCCCCAAAATGGGTAACTTCTCCAGCATGCACACATAGATCCATGTGAGCAAGTGTTTTTGTTTTTCTTTTTCTGAACCATTATCCATTAAAATGAAATACAGCACATAGTAAGTGAACTAGTTCTTATCACAAACGGTATTTGCTACACATGGAATTTTCCACTGGGACAAACCATGTAAGTCACTGAGCTTCAGTCTCCTTATCTGTCAGAAGAGGACACTCACTCCTGCTCATCAGCTTCACAGGTTCCATGGCCATGGAGGCTTTCTGGAAGTCACAGAGCATACTGGGAATGTGAGGTCGTTGGGCATCTTCAGTGGGAAATACCCCAAACCACCACCTTATTCCCTTGACTGGGAAGGCTGTGGAGAAGTGCCACGTGGTAGGGCTGGCCCCATGCACTGGAGGCAGGGAGGGGTGGCAGGATGTGGCTGTGGGAAGAAAACATGTTACGTGAGAGAGAGGAGTCAAGCAGAGGTGAAATGACAGAGGTAGTCCCTGAACTTGCGGCTGTTTTAAAAGAAAGCAGTTTGCCAGGAGCCCTGAGCAGCAACAGTTGGAAGGCCAGTGGGGTCCAGTACTGACAACCTTGAAGCTTCCCGTGGAGGAGGAACAATTACATCTGGTCAAGGCCCAGGCTCTTCTTGGGAAAATTCTGAGGCCAGCCTGTGCATCCTGTGCCTTGGCAGGACAGGCATCTTTACTTGGCTTCAGGGCTTGGAAGGGAGGAGGCGTTTTTGGTGGGAATGGAGTTCATGATGGTTTGTGGAGCAGGCACTAGGCTTCCCCTGGCTGCCTGACTTGTTTTTAAAATGTTTTGTTATTGTGATTTCATATGTATCTCTCATGAAAGAGTTCATATAACACATATTCCGTTTAACAGATAATAGAATTAAAGCCCATGTAATGACTTTCCTCTTTATGGCATGGTATGAGTTTAAATCCTCTGATAGAAGAGTCCCAGCACCTGAGATACTGGGTCTTCCTGTGAGGGGACTGGTGCTCTGTCCTACTGCCCTGAGGTCTACGTAGATGGCAGGTGCTTGCTAGAACATGAAATCCAAATGTCAGCCATTTGGCCTCATCTCACAAGGAGCTGCCATTGCAGACCTGGGGTGAACCTAGGAGTCAGGATGTATAGTGATTGCCTCTCTGTTCCTTGTCTGCCCTGAGGTCCTGGTCCAGTGGTGGGAGGCTGCATCAGTGCAGATATATTACCAACAGCAGGAGGACTCTACCATCAGGGAGGCCCAGAAGGTGCTGGACAGGGGTAAGTGGGGCTCCCTAAAGCAAGGCATGTTGAGGAGAGGAGTGTGAAGACACAACTGTCTTGGAGTTCCCTGTGCCCTCCATAGACTCTGTCTTCTCTTCATACATCTAGTTCCCAGTACCAAAAAGTAGGACAACAGAAAATTATTCTCTCACAGTTCTGGAGGCTAGAAGTCTAGAATCCAGGTGTCTCAGGGCTGTGTTCCCTCCAAAGGCTCTAGGGGAGGATCCTTCTTGCCTCTTCAGCTTCTGGTGTTGCTGGCAATCCGTGGCATTCCTAGGCTTGTAGATGCATCACTCAGATGTCTGCCTCTGTCTTCATGTGGCGTTCTCTTCCTGTGTCTCTAGGTTCCTTCTTATAAGGAAACCAGTCACAGTGTATTAAGGACCCACTCTGCTTGAGTATGACATAATCTTAATTAATTACATCTGCACTGACCCTATGTCTAAATAAGGTCACATTCTGAAGTTCCCGGAAGGACATCAATGGAGGATTGGAGGGAACACTCTTCAGTTCAATACATCATAGAATTCTGTTCCCAACTGATTCTCAGCCAGTCAGTGTTAAAATGAGTGGCCAAGGCTTGAGATCTATGGAGAAATAAAGAAGTAAAGCTGGAATGGAGGAGTTCTAGATGGTTGGGGAGGGCAGGGTTTGGTCATGTTAGGGTCCTACTTCCTTGCATAGTTGGGCCCTTTCATGTTCAGGGACCAGAGACTTGCTCAATCAGCCTCGGGAAGTCTCATTACCTGTTCTACAAACATACAGACAGTCCACAACAAGAGTCGGTGCCTCTGCTTGCGAGACACATAGATGCACAAGAGACCCACAGGGAGTTGTCTCCTAACACAGCCAGGGGACCCCACAGTGGGGGAATCCGACACTGAAGAATAAATGCAAATACAAATGCACGTGAAAACAATTAGAAGTGTTAAATCGACCATAAAGAAAATCTATCCATTTGTTAAATTGTCATAAGTTTGCTCCAGGACAAAAATCAATCAGCTTTGGTTTGGTTCTGACTCTGATGTGCATGTTGAGGAACAGAGATCCCTGATGTCCTCTGGACAAAACCCTGGGGTCAGATCTCCTGCCTCTACTCCATCATGAATGTGCTCCCGTGTCCTCAAGCTACTCCTCAGCTTAGAAGCCAGTGCTGCGTTTCTAGTTTATCAAGGGAGAAGGTGAGGGGTTTAGCCCATCCCTTGGCCTCTGTTTAGGCAAAGTGTTTGCACTTGGCACTGTAGAGGCTACCAGCTAGTTTGGGTCAGCTGCCATAACAGTGCCCTTTTCTGGCCATGATGGGACGTTAGAGGTGACAAGTTCAAGGTGCAGCCTGAGCTGCTTCTCTCTGAAGGACTTTGCTTAGAAGCGGTTGGTGGCATGTGGCAGGCCCTGGGACTGCCATGTCTGTTACAGATGGTATAAGGGACTTGGGAGACTGGGCAACAAGACACTATGCACATAGTAGGTGTGTAGTAAAGACCTGTGGGACAATTTCTTAGCTTGTATTAAGGCCTCAGAGTCCCAGGCACACCCTAGAAGTCCAAGGGTGGGGCAGGGCACTGGGGGAGGAGGGACTAAGGGGAAGGTGTCATAAGACACATTAAGCAGAATGTGTCCAAAGTGCACACTAGAGGTCACAACCTGGCTGTGTGACCCCCCCGCCCCGTCCCCTGCAAGGCCCTTTCTTTGATTCTCAGTTTATTCGTCTATAAGATGGGGATAATATTACCTACCTCTTAGGATTTTCATGGGAATCCAGTTAGATGATATATACGCTTACAGCAGTCCCCCAGAAACCTTAGCACGTAGCACTAACATGCTTGTCCTTCAGCTTGTGATTGCTGCCTGCCTTGCCCACCCTGCTGGGTCCTAGAGGGATCCCCCATCTTGGTATCAGTACCCCAGTATCAGCCCTCTTCTGTTGTCTCAAAAAGAAACTTCTCTCAGTGGCCAAGAAAAATTCATGAAAGGAAGAATCTGGTGACACAGAAACAAAACGCAGGGTGCGGCCCCTGCCTGCAGAGCCCAGGGCGTCAACGGACGTAGCCCGGCAGACCAATGTGCCTCCCCCTGAGTCGTGGCTTGGGCTGGTTTGACTTCTCTGACTGAGCTGCAGCTTCCTCCCTGGTAAAAGAAAGCTGCCGCCGCCTCCTCCTTCAAGCTCCAGTACAAGTGCAGTCTCCTCCTCCTCCCTCAGATGGGAGGTCTTTTCCTTCTGCCACGTCTTGCGTGTGGCTCTGTGGGAGCCCCTGACTCACCTGTGGTGGCTGTTGACAGGCTTGTGGCTCTGGGAGGGCTCTTGGGGGGTACAAGAGTAAACAGATCTGCTTCTGGTCTCCAGGGTGTTTGCAGTTGCTGATGGTGGTCAGAGCTGTCCTTAGAGAGTGGTCACTGTCCATGTGTGGTAGTTACACCAAGTGTGGGCTGGACACCCCAAGTCTATCCCCATGCAACCTTCCCCACTCTCTAAACCTTCACCATTATGTAGTTGCTTGTGGAAATTCTACAAGCTTGGATCTGCCTTAGGCTGTCTCCGGACCTGGTTTCGGCACTGGCGGGACCGCAGCCAGAGGTCAGCCCAGCAGAGAATCCAGCTGGAGAGGGCAGCCCAGCACCACTGCCGGCAGCTGCTGCTGGATGGGGTGGCCCGGTGGAAGGCACACCATCTGGGGTGTGTCAGGAAAAGGGTGAGGCAGGTGGTGGCAACTCTCCAAGCTCCTAGTCTGTGGCAGGGCATGTCCAGGCAAGGAGACACCTCTTGGGAAGGGGTCTCTCCTCACAGAACTCAAAGCAGCCAGTGTGGGTGCCTGGTGGTTTGGGTGCTGTGGGAACAAGGCTTCAGGAGCCTTTCTGGGTGTTTAATGGAGGGGAAGTCAGTCTGTGAATTGGGGAGGATGGGCTCCACAGAGAAACCTGGATCACACTGAGCCCTGGCTTGTCAGAACTGGGTGATCTGTGGAGTTATCTAGACACCCCCTACTTGTGCAGGAGGCCCTTGGCATCATCCAGGACTTCTGGCCATGGGAAGACAGTACACTTGTGCCAGGAGCCTCACCCCATGGCTGCCCTCAGGTGGTGTGGGTTAGGCACCACCTTGGTTGCAGGGCGTGGGGTACCTGACTGCGGTCAGGACGCAGCAGCTCCTTGTGCACTTGCTCTCACCCCAGCTCCTGCAGAGGCTGGCCGCCCGGCTCCTGGTGCAGAGACTCAGCCAGGCCTGCTTCCGCCAGTGGAGACAACAGGTGGGAGCCAGTGAGATGCCCCTTCCTTGCTTCCCTCCCTCCACTAGCTCATGAGGCCTGGTCTGTGGGTGACTTTCAGCCCCCACCTCTAGTTCACTATTTGTAATATCAGCCTGGTCCCAGGCTACCTCCCTCTGTGCACCCCCAGTCACTGCCCAGCACCATCAGCTTCCTGCCATTTGCCATCTGTCCAAGGCCAGTCCCTTCAAGACCCAGTTTCTCGGGGCCGGCCCGGTGGCGCACTGGATAGTGCGCCGCTTGGGAAGCGCGGCGGCGCTCCCGCCCGAGGGTTCGGATCCCACATACAGACCGGTTCCCGCTCACTGGCTG